AGTTGTGGCAATTTGAATTTTCATTTTAGAACCGGGTTTAAAACGGGTCTTTTGACCCGTCTCAAGGTTGAAGACGACCAAAGAACAAAAAATCGCATCAGAGTGTCAGGCGCGCGCCAGTGCCCACGTGGCGCGCATGGGACCCAGCGTCAGTGCGTGCATCAGCGCGCGCGTCTAGTCAGCCGCGCGAGTCAGACGCGCGTCAACGCCCACGTGGCGCGCGTGGGCCCATGTTTGGCCAAATTCTTCCCCATTTTGTGATTTTAACTCTGTTTTCAGCGACATTTTTGCCGTTGTGCTCCGTTTTTTATTTCCTACTAATTCAAATGATTTATTTTGGGTTTGGGTCACCATAAAATCATATTTTTTAATATTTTTATATTATTGATTTTATATATTCATTGGTGGCTAATTCTCACAATTTTTCAAACAAATTTTTTCTGGGCATTTCGTATACAATTTATTTGATGATTGATGCCATAAAATTTATATTATGTTGTTGTTATTATATGGCATATATGTAATTGTGAGAATTCGACAATAGTGAATGTTTATGTACTCGCCTCTCATGAGTCTAAACATGTCAAATTGTCTCGGTTCTTATGTTTCGGAGCTCTCCCATAAAATTTAATATTTTCTTTTGAAAAAGGATTAGGATACACACTGCTTACATAGATGCACATGAGCTACTAGAAAATATTTTTATTTAAATATTTGTTTATTGTAATAATTTTCATATATTTTCTAGGTAGTTTTAATTCTCACTATTTAGAGACCTAAAATTTTGGGGCATGTTTGTTATTCCATATTATATTGTCATATTTTATTTGTTCTCCCACATAATTTGATATTTTGATAAATAAAATTTAGACATATAATATGGATGTTTGTTCAAATTTTGAAATGCCCATTTTGTATTCAACATTTTAATGCCTAATTATTTATGTAGGCATACAAGGTCTCTTTTGTGTTAAAGTGAGAATGAAAATTTTAATTAGAAGCTCATGTGCTATTATAAAGCTTAAGCTATAAGTTTATCCATAATTTATTTATTTTTGCTATCATTATTATTTGGTATCTTGTTTTATGTGAGTATCATGTGTTTTGATTATGCTATCCAAGTGGGAGAAAATTAAAAATATTTTTTTTGTGGATTAGCATAATCACTAACTCACATACTATTATCAAATAATAAATTGTGGGATTATATGGATAAACTTAATTTGTTGATTATGTTCTAAAAGTCCATACGGGTAATGGAATTGTCCTATCGATAGTTTTATTGCTTGGTAGGACACTTGAGTCTTGTTGGAGCTTAAGCTAGTTGTCTTTATCCATGTATTTTGGTTACATATTATTATTTGACATTTTGTATTATATGAGTATCATGTTTTTGATTATGCAGTCCAAGTGGGAGAATACTGTGAATGATTATATATGGACTTGCATAATCACTAACTCATATTATGGTCAAATAATATATTAGAGTGTTAAAAATAAAGGTATGTATTTACCATATTGCTAAGATCTATACGGACAATTAAATTATCCTATCGATAATTAATTGTTTGGTAAGATGCTTAGACCGGTGAAGGAGGTTTGTTGGATGTCATGAATCGCATAATCTTTACCACCCTATCGGTGGTAGATTGATGCATTTGGTTGTGATGTTTGATGAATTGTCCTTATCTGCGAAAGAGTTCTATTCTTGCTCAACAGACTCTAGCACACAATGATCATATTGGCTTGGATCATTGGGAAGGCTAAGTAAAGGGCAAATTACATGATCTTGTTTTACATGCCTATTGTTGGTTGCCCATGTTGTTTTCTTTAGCCTTGAGCAATCCTTGCATCTCCGCTGTCTTGACACTAAATGGGACGAGCCATTATATATGGTATGAATCTCTTTATGAATCTATTAATGATGAAATGGACATAGCCTTGAGAGTGGATGTGTTTTCTAGCTCCACTAATGTGTTGAGAAACTCTATGATGAGTGAGAGTGTATGGATAACACCGAGGTCGTAATGTCTCAATTTTAGGATGAGACAATCACTAAAATTAGCTTTATGGAAAACGTTGTTGATAAATTCATATGTGTAAGGTCAGTGGGAGCAGTTGCATATTTCTATTTTTTATGTCGGTGACAACTTGCTCGCGCCTAATGATTCTAACCTGCTGGTTAAGATGAATAACATGTCGCCTGTCACTTTGGTTTGAGAATCTTGAAAAAGCCTCTTATGTTCTAGGCATGTAGATTCTCCGTGACAAGGATAAGTGCATTTTTTGGTTGTCTTAGAGAACCTATATTGTTCTTGTTTCGAACAGGTTCAGTATGCATTGTTGTTCTCCTAGTAAGCATTGTTAGTTAAAGTGACAAACTCTCAAAGGTGTAATGTCCTTATCGTGAAGTAAGAGAGATCAGATAAAATTGTCCCTTATGCTTACGTATTTAGCAGCCTGATATATGCTCAAGTATACACATGTCTCATTATTGTGTTTGTTGTTGACGTGCAGATTCGGTACTCTAGTGATTGTTGTTATTATTACCGAATTTACTGGGAATGAAGTACCAGATAGTTGTGTATCGGTAAACCAACACTTTTGTTGTGGTTGGATCTCGTGATGCCGATTATGTAGGCTGCATAAATGATAAAAGGAGGAGCTACTTTGTTGAAAAGTGTCAATAGACACTTGTAGCGTCCTTGACTATGATGCAGAGTATGTGGCGTATCGGGAGGCTATTTGTGTGATGTAATTGTGAAACCTTATTTCAACATTAGGAGTGGTTCACTCCATTTCTAGACTGGCTAAAATTGTGTTGTGAAAGTTCCATAATAGTATATTTCTCTTAGAACACCAGGAGCATTGTCCGCTCAATAGAACACCAGGAGCATTTTGTAAAGAGAAATTGTAAGAGGCCTCATTATTATTGCAAACAGGCCTATAAACAACATGTTGGCAGTTCCACTAAAGGTTTACCTATTAGGTGTTTTAAGAACACGCATCCCACTCGGGACTGTAAGGAGCCTGTAGTTGTATTGAGTTAGTGGGAGTTTACTGTCATTTGTTTGTGACATGTTGTTATCGATAAGGATTGCTTATGCCTCGAATAATACATGCATATTTATGGATCTGTCACTTTATGCGTATGTTGTGTTGACACACTTATTAGTTGTTAAAGTGACAAGTTGAAAAGAGACATCTGGTTGTTAGTCTCTATCATTGTTTTTTATCCATATATTAAAGATGTTGACATGCTTTGATGAACGTCTAGCGCCTGATTATGTATAGTGATTGTATCCTATCGATACGTTAGTATGCATGATTGTTTTGGACTTGTGTTTATTATGTGAGATTCTTAGTTGATGCTTATGCTGTGATGAGTGAATGTTCGTTCTATGATTATGTCGTCCAAGTGGGAGTTTGTTGGAATATTTTTATATAGACTTCCATAATCATAATAATTCACTCTATAATTAATTAAAGCATCTTATGGATAACTGTGTTAATGTGAATTAACACATGCATGTATGTTAAATATCAGTCTATTATGGGATGGACACTTGTTTTATTAACTCACTTGAGGCATTTAAACTCCCTCTATCTCATAATATTTGGTCAGCCCATTAGGCCAAATACCCTCTCTGTCTGAATATTGGAAAAGGCCCCCTATTTAGTTTATATAGGCAGCCACCTTTTGTTTTTGGTGGGGTGTGCTCGTGGGGTGTGTGTAGGGGGCTTTAGGCCTGTGGCCGAATGAACACAAAGAGGGAGAGACAGGGAGGAGTTCATGCTCCTCTTGCTTCTTCTTCTTCTTTTTGCAGCTCCTCCACCCACTCAGACCAGCCATCGGTGGATTCCGGCGACCGTGAACGACGTGCCTCCGCTGTCCAACGGAATAGAGGTATGCCTAAATCCCAAATAAGAGTTTTTTTTTTTTTAAATGGCATTTTCGAATTTTAAGCTAGATTAGTTATTATGATCTTATTTATATCATTTTAAATCTAGCATATATATATATATACTTTGACCAGACTTGAATTTTTACCACGCGAACAATATCTCACCAAACTTTAGGTGTTGTCCAGACCATATTCTTACCATAATAAAAATGAATTGATTGATGATAAGATGACAGGAATTCATACATGATAAGGTGACAGATTTTGTAGTGGTGTCATTTGTCTTTCAGCATTATAAGATCTTGGATTCGATTTCTGATGCCATTGCCATAAAATAATAATTGCAGAGTGGTCACTTATGAGCAACAGAATCTTTGAAACTCCCTTGAGGCAGGAGGTTGAAGAAGCCTTCTCCGGTCTGAAAAAAGAAAAAGCTGTTTCTTGGAGAAGAGAGTAGTAATATCACTTTTTTTTTTTTTTGTTAAAGAGAAGGGATAAACTGGATTTTACAGAGATAGGTTTTGATTGATTGACAGTTCTTATTACATGGTCCTACAACTGAAGAAACAAAACTTATTGGGAATCCTCAAGCACAGTACATGTTTCAGGTCTTTCCACGGTGGTGAGAGAATCTACTTCTGATCAAGGTTGGGGAATTGGAAAGTGCACCTGAGAAGGACATGATAAAGGTTGCTTAGGCCCATTTCCACTTGTACTATTCCTTGCAACTCTATACATTTGCGGTTGAAAGGGTCATTTCATTTGGGTTTGGTAAATAGGGATCTGAATACATGAATATATGAAGACTTCAACTACTGTATTACCTTGCATAACTTAAGGTTCTAAGAGGAATCTTGTAAATATATAAATATATATATATATATATAACGGTCCGGTCTAGACCTTTTGAAAACATTACAAACCAGACCAAACCATTGATGAAATAGTCTGGTCTGGTTACTTAGAACCGGACCCGCAGTCTAAAAACCGCAGACTGGTTCGAACCCGGTTTTGACCGGCCGTGCACAGCCCTAGAGGTAAAAATAGAAAATCACACAAGACCATGAGCAATCATTGATTAAGTGTAAATGTGGGATTAAAATGAGGTAAAAATGGAAACCATACAAGAGCAACAAGGTGAATTTTTCACCCTGATGACATTTGAGTTGAGGCTCAAGGAACACATTTTGGAGAGACTACAAGATCATTAAATCTGACACCAACTCATCTACTAAAGAAGTCAATATCTCTTTTTCAATATCTAGCCCCTCCTCAAACGCTTCATTATCAAAGTCAAGCCATCTTCCATACCAGGTGTTCATGTCCTTGTCCACAAGGTCATCCACCATAAAGTCTGCCAAGCTTTTCCAACCCGAAATCTCTTTGTACAATTCCTCTGCCAACCATTCCTTCCTCGGAGATATTCTAACCCATCTAGAGCATGTTCCAACAAACATTTTCTTGCACCATGATTCCAGGCATTCATTCACACAATCAAACAAAACCTTTCTCCCACGTTTCGAACATTCTTCTCCATCTATTTCTGTACCGTTTTCTTTGTGCTCCAGGTGAACAAAGATATTTGAGGAGATGACCTTGTTAGTATCACCCAATGCAAAATCTTCCAATGCTAATTCAGCATTACCGAGTATGCTCCTCACATATTCCAGTTCCCAGTTGCTTGGTCTATCAAGATCTTCCAAACCGAATCTTTTAGTCATTTGCTTTCTACTTGCATTCCTTGTACAACTGGAAGAGATTGAGTCAGGTGAATCTATCACGCTATATGCTGGCAGGAGTTCGTTTGCGCAGAACAGACGGTTTTGAGCTTCAGCCAATGAGCATTCCTTGCTTCCTGTAGATTGAAAGTAAATATGATAAAATGCCTTGTCATATCTCTTTAATAAAATCGTACTTTTGTTTGGGCACCGGGAATAATTCTTACACTCTTACCAGGTAAAACTGAACTAAAGAAGAGTTTGGCAAAGCTAGTCTTACCCCAGTTGATAAAATGCCATTTTCACAATTTCTGAAAATGTCATCTAGTACAACCTTCTCAAACATAAGAAGGGCTATGTACTAATTGAAAGAAGTTCAATTACCAACTTTATATTCTATTTAATTTATATTTTTAATCTACACCTACTGGTTAGTTGCTTCACATAAATCCATCATAGTTCCACATAAGTAGGCTTGGTAGAAGTCCACTTCTTGCCAAATTTTCCCATCACCATTAGGGTTCTTAGCCATTTGATTAAATAAAAAACGTAAAGACACCTTTGAAACTAACACCTATATTATGCTCATCGATACTTGAAAGGAAAATAGTACGGTTTGCACAGCTTTTATTACCTGTAGAGCTTCCACTTTCAAATGCGAGTTCAAAACTTGATTCTGGACTAGCATCTTCATATTCTAATTCTTTTCCAGTTTCATAGCTGCTGCTTCCGGTAGACTCTTCCATTTCCTAAAAGCGATCAGCATGCATTGACCAGTTTAGCGAGTGCAAGGTCAAGACATTGAAACACGGGAAATGTAACAAAATAACACGGCTTCCATCATCAAAGAGGCATGCCAAAAATAGTGCAAAGCTTATTAACTAATTAAAATACTCATCAAAGAACTTGTCAATAAAAAAGAATTGTCTATTCATAGAGTGCTATAGCCGACTGCTAATACATGCATGCATATATAATCATATATGTTCTAGTAGCTATGTTTTAAGCTTTAACGTATCACCTTGCCTCTGGAGGGTGGACCGATGTTTAAATGAAACAGTACGATGAACTGCTAAGGAAATGAACCAAGTCGTCTCTACAGCTTGTACTTTTGTTTGGGCACCGGGAATAATTCTTACACTCTTACCAGGTAAAACTGAACTAAAGAAGAGTTTTGCAAAGCTAGTCTTACCCCAGTTGATAAAATGCCATTTTTACAATTTCTGAAAATGTCATCTAGTACAACCTTCTCAAACATAAGAAGGGCTATGTACTAATTGAAAGAAGTTCAATTACCAAATTTATATTCTATTTAATTTATATTTTTAATCTACACCTACTGGTTAGTTGCTTCACATAAATCCATCATAGTTCCACATAAGTTGGCTTGGTAGAAGTCCACTTCTTGCCAAATTTTCCCATCACCATTAGGGTTCTTAGCCATTTGATTAAATAAAGAACGTAAAGACACCTTTGAAAACACCTATATTATGCTCATCGATACTTGAAAGGAAAATAGTACGGTTTGCACAGCTTTTATTACCTGTAGAGCTTCCACTTTCAAATGCGAGTTCAAAACTTGATTCTGGACTAGCATCTTCATATTCTAATTCTTTTCCAGTTTCATAGCTGCTGCTTCCGGTAGACTCTTCCATTTCCTAAAAGCGATCAGCATGCATTGACCAGTTTAGCGAGTGCTAGGTCAAGACATTGAAACACGGGAAATGTAACAAAATAACACGGCTTCCATCATCAAAGAGGCATGCCAAAAATAGTGCAAAGCTTATTAACTAATTAAAATACTCATCCAAAGAACTTGTCAATAAAAAAGAATTGTCTATTCATAGAGTGCTATAGCCGACTGCTAATACATGCATACATGCATGCATATATAAACATATATGTTCTAGTAGCTATGTTTTAAGCTTTAACGTATCACCTTGCCTCTGGAGGGTGGACCGATGTTTAAATAAAACAGTACGATGAACTGCTAAGGAAATGAACCAAGTCGTCTCTACAGCTCAGTAAATTTGAATGTATAATATGTGATTTAACAGGTTTCAAACCAAATTCAAAATTAGTGGCAGTCACCTATTAATAAGGCTTTGCCAGTTGCCAGAAAAGAAAACAATTTCTAAATGTGTATTTGAGCCTCGTTTTATCTACAAAAGTTATTACTTTCTCCATGTGACAGACAACCCTTCAAGTTCCACCTTCCCAGTTGTCTTCCCAAAGAAATTCTTTATTTTTTTTTCCTTACTAGATGATAAAAAGTCATGAAGGGAGAATTTTGGATGCCGGAATATTAACAAAAAATACAAGAAACTAAGAATGGGACACCAACTACAGAAGAAACGCACAAGCAAAGAAACAAACCTGCCACTGCCCGTTCATATTAACCACTGGTGGCTTGGTAGAAGTCCACTTCTTGCCAAATTTTCCCATCACCATTAGGGTTCTTAGCCATTTGATTAAATAAAGAACGTAAAGACACCTTTGAAAACACCTATATTATGCTCATCGATACTTGAAAGGAAAATAGTACGGTTTGCACAGCTTTTATTACCTGTAGAGCTTCCACTTTCAAATGCGAGTTCAAAACTTGATTCTGGACTAGCATCTTCATATTCTAATTCTTTTCCAGTTTCATAGCTGCTGCTTCCGGTAGACTCTTCCATTTCCTAAAAGCGATCAGCATGCATTGACCAGTTTAGCGAGTGCTAGGTCAAGACATTGAAACACGGGAAATGTAACAAAATAACACGGCTTCGATCATCAAAGAGCCATGCCAAAAAGAGTGCAAAGCTTATTAACTAATTAAAATACTCATCCAAAGAACTTGTCAATAAAAAAGAATTGTCTATTCATAGAGTGCTATAGCCGACTGCTAATACATGCATACATGCATGCATATATAAACATATATGTTCTAGTAGCTATGTTTTAAGCTTTAACGTATCACCTTGCCTCTGGAGGGTGGACCGATGTTTAAATAAAACAGTACGATGAACTGCTAAGGAAATGAACCAAGTCGTCTCTACAGCTCAGTAAATTTGAATGTATAATATGTGATTTAACAGGTTTCAAACCAAATTCAAAATTAGTGGCAGTCACCTATTAATAAGGCTTTGCCAGTTGCCAGAAAAGAAAACAATTTCTAAATGTGTATTTGAGCCTCGTTTTATCTACAAAAGTTATTACTTTCTCCATGTGACAGACAACCCTTCAAGTTCCACCTTCCCAGTTGTCTTCCCAAAGAAATTCTTTATTTTTTTTTCCTTACTAGATGATAAAAAGTCCTGAAGGGAGAATTTTGGATGCCGGAATATTAACAAAAAATACAAGAAACTAAGAAATGGACACCAACTACAGAAGAAAGGCACAAGCAAAGAAACAAACCTGCCACTGCCCGTTCATATTAACCACTGGACCATCAATGGACGGGGAATCATAACAGTATATGCTATCAGTTTTATCTCTAAGCAGACATACTTGAACCTGCTTTCCCCTTGGTGGGGTTCTTAATACATTGGAGTCTTGTGATGCAGATGCACAACGAGCAGAACTCTCTTCTCTGAAAAGGTTTGATTGGTATGACCGAACTTTACATGTTAGTTCCTGAAGCTTCTGTTCCAGAAGAGCACCTAAAGAGTCGGTACCTATTACATTGAATCCAGGAGAAGACAATTCGAAGCCATTTGAATAAAGCGGCTGATCTTTGTCACTTACGGAGTTAATCCCAAATCTCTTTTCCATTATCATGGCTTGACCTGAGGACGGGGACACGCATGTGGATTTTTTCAGGGGAGAGTTGAATGTAAATGAAATTACATCTATTCCCGGTTTTCTGTTATCTGGGCTCATACCAGTGCAAGAATCTATAGATATATTACATTTTATAGACCTTTGCCCTTCACTACTCTGTATACTACTACCACCAGCAGCAGTTTCTTCCATACGAACACCCTGACAAACAGAATGTTTCTTCCTAGAGACATTCTTAACCGTTGTCTCTCTTTGACTAGCAGTTGACACAGAACCCGTCTTCTTTGATCTGGTTTTGAAGTTTGCAACAACCTTATTTACAGTCTTGCTTGGCTCAGCAGAGCCACTAGAGGACCTAGTTCTTCTGGCTGGATGATTGGAAACCAGATTTTGTCCAGTCTTGTCCATATTAGATACACAGTTCTGCTTCTGGTTATTCTGCCTTAACACATTGTTACTGCTCTCTGGAGAAGTTCTTTTCTGCTCTGATCTTTGCAAGTTAGGCTGGCGCTTTGGTATGTAGTTTGACTTCACCTCTTTCTGGTTCATAAAGTTCCTATTACGACCAGGAATTGAACCTTCTCTTCTCTGAACATTGGTCTTTGCTTGTACAGCAAGTGACACTGATGAAGCCTTGCCTCCGACATTGTTAAAATTCCGTTTCCCAGAATTGATAGGAGCCTGAGTTACTAACACATAACCATTAGGGGTCTTGCTACTGTCCTGTCCTCCAGTACGTTTTAAAGCATTGGCTTCCTTGGATTTTTCAGGTCCAGTTGCTTTATTTGCAGCCTCTATCTTCTCTTTCAAATCTCTAATTCTCAAGGGAACCAAAGAAGGCCCTATGCTTGACACTTTACTCTTGGAGGATGCCCTAGGACTCGCCTCAATTATCTTTGCACCAGCCTCCATGATATTAGTCTGATTTTTTGTTGGAACAAACCCAGGATTTTTTATACGTGACAATAGCTTATGGTGAGTGGTTGGAATTGATTTAGCCGATTTAGGAGGTAGAACTTCGGTCTGAAATCTCTCAATTGGCCTGTTCTGCTGCCTCTGGGACCTAGATTCTACTTGATTCCTAGAAAATGTGTTGAGTCTGTTGGGCACATTTACACAATCCCTCCTATAAAAATCACTCCACAAACCACTCTTGTCATGATGAGAAGCTCTAAATGAGCACGAGTCAGAAAGTGGGGCTGAACTAGAAGAGGGCTCTGCAACATTCGAAGTTGGCAATGAATCTAAACCCATCAGTCTAGCAACTACACCTGGGGCTCTAGCCCCACTTCCATCTTCACTGGTTACACATGAAGCAGAATTCCAGTCACTGCTCCCTTTATTACTCGAATTTGCTTCGTTCTCATCCGCTTCCACCTGGAAGTACACCATGAGTATAAAACCACACAAGAAAAGAAAAACCATCAAGAAAACTAAAGATAAGACATAATGAGAGGAAAATAAACGCTTTATTTACCGCATTGTAAACGACAGTCCTCGAACAATTCTCCTCATCTTCTTTTCCTTGCTTTGATCCTTGAGGATACAAAATAAGGGGAAATTTTAGAATGTGTAATCAAACAATGTATCAACTAAGAAGCACCTCATTTTAAGGACACAGATAATACCAGGCAACTCTTCTGAATTGTTAGCAAAAAGCTTCTTCCGAGACTTCCCATTCCAATCAAACAAATGAAGAAACCCTCCTTTTGAACGTTTCTTCTCAGCCTCCATACTTTATTATTACAAACCTAATACAATTTTGAATTTACAAGTTAAAAATAACGACCAACAAAAAGAGAAAAAAGAAAAAAAAAAACCATATCCAAATTCTCGTTACCGCATTTATGTAAGATACTGTTATGCTTGAATTACAAAGGTACAAAGACATTGAAAATCAGACCATATATCTTTATTATCAATTTTTTTTCCTTTTGGGCTGAATAAATAGCTGTATATTAAAAATTAGCTAGCCCATAGGATTCGAATTATGCAAAAAAAAAAAAGGCATTTAATAGTTAATACTACTTACACTGCTCATTTGAATAGGTTTAGACATAAAGACACCAACTTTTAAAGCCATAAGAGAGAGAGAGAGAAAACTGCAAAATCATTCAATTTGAAACCCACTAAAAATGGAGAAATGGAATAAACAACTTACCTGGACTCATTTCAACCAAAATCTCTCATCAATAAAACCAATTTTCCAGAATCCAAAGCTCATTCCTTTTCTTTTCTCAGTTGTAGAAGTAGCAATTTCTTCAAAAACCCAACTTGGTAAAACCAGCGAGAAAAAGATGAAGAAACACAAACAAGTAACTTCCTTCAAATGGGCACTCTTCAATCAACCCAACCGTACACTTTGCAGCCAGGAAACCCTCATTCCTCAGTTTCCCACAAACCAATTTCTCTCCTTTTTCCCCTTTCCTGGAGTTACTTCCTAAACCAAACACAATGACAATGTAATAATTGAGATCTGAATTCAAAAGTCAAAAAAAAAAAAAGAAAGAAAAGAGTTCGAAGAATAAATGCGCATTGCCCAAATACAGCAGAGAAGAAAGCAAGAGAGAGAAAACTCAAAACTAGGAATTAAAACAATGGAGCCACACCAGTGGTCAAATGGGGTTTTTTTGAAAGAGTTTTTTTTTTTTTTTTAGGGCAATCATCAAAAGGGTCTGTTTCTGAACAGTAATAAAATCCTTCGAGGCAGATGAAACGTCTCTCTCTCTCTCTCTCTCTCTCAAACAACTTCACTGCCAAGCCATTAAGTACTACCAGCCCTTTTGCTGTCCTGCCACGTGGGCAGTGAATTTGGATTCTGGGCCCACCATATGGTTTTTCCTTACCTTCGAAACTGTTTTTTCAACCTTTTTCAAAGTTCTCTATCAAAAAACTTTTTTAAAAATGTTATACTTGGGACCTTCCTGTTTTTAATAATTTAAAGCCCATTGAATTTTATTAATTTAAATAAAAAAATTTAAATTGTGTGATTTAAATTATAGTTTGAATTAATATTTAAATGTGTAATTAAAATTTTAATTTAAATAAAAAATAAAAATAAAATTTGTGTTTGGTAGGTGTGAAAAATATAGAGAGTTGATACTTTTTACTGTTTAAAAATAGTTTGAACGGTTCAATTTAAAGGGGGAGTCAAACTTTAAGTTGAGTCATTTAACTCAGCTCAAGCGGAGAATATAATTCAAACTACATGCTTACTAAACGTCAGTTTAAATAGTACTCACTGTTCAAACTAAGGGGGCGTTTGTTTTCTATATTCGTCCCTGATTCTGAATCATGATTCATGATTCTCTACAGTGTTTTCTCTCACAAAAAATACACGTAAAATGAGAATAATTCTGAATACATAAACCAAACGTCCTCTAAGTTAAGCTAAACTGAATTAAACCAATGAAACAAATATTCACAGATACTTTCAAAGTTTAAATTACCCTCAAATCAAATCAAATCTATTGATTTATGATTTGATTTATGGGAGCTTATACGGGGATAAAGAAAATAAAATATTGTTAGTTTTTTTATTTTTCACCGTTAAATTTTATATTAAAAATTATCTATTATATATACATTTTTTAATTTAATATAATTTTAATTTAATTTATCAGTAAAATACTAATAGTGTCCAATCATAAAAATTCCCTTAATTTACATATTAGAATATCAATTTTTAAGAAGTCAACATGTGTACTAATAACATGTTTAGTTCGTTGATTCGAGTTTTTAATTTAAATTGAAATACAAATTTATGTGAAAGCTTTTTACCGTAGTAAAAAAAGTTAGATGTGACTGTTTTTTAGAGCTTTTTATTGTAGCAAAACTCGAATTCTAAACTCAAATCGGTGAATGAACGAGACCTAAAATCTCTTGTTTGCAACTCAACTTTTTGTTTCTTTTGTGTTATTCTTTTTTTTTTTTTTTTTTTTTTTTTGTTCCTTTCTCTATTGACTGTTATGTAATTTACGTGAATAAAAAAAATAGTTTACCCATTACAAGATTTATATATTTTAAGATAAAAAAGGATTATTATTTTCATTTTGGGTGCGTTTGGAATTAGTTTTAAAATGATTTTGTTTTTAATGAAAAGTAAAAATGAGATTGTTTTGAAAATCATTCTGAGACCGATTCTAAAATTGCGTTTGGTTACTTTTTTAAGGGATTATTTTGAGTATAATAAAAGAGTAAAATCGTGTTTATTAATTAATATATTATAATATTGTTGTAAGTACTAAAAAATGAAAACAGAAAAGTGAAAATAACTTTCAACCGTTTTTTAATTCCTTCACAAAAATCATTCACACTATTTTCGTTTTCAAAACATTTGCTAAATAAATGTCGTTTCGTTTTCATTTTCATTTTTTACTTCTCGAAATACGTGAAAATTATTTTCAAAAACAGTTCCAAACACGCACTTTATTTTACATCTTATTCGCTTATGGCCAATAAAATTAAAAGAACCCAATCCAATTCTATTAAAAAAAGTGAGTTTAATTTCACTCATACCACCACAAATTCAATGTGGCTTAGTTTGTTGACCGGACATGCAACTAAAAATGAGGCTATAATTACATTTTGAATGCAATGTTATAATTGATGTGTCAATTGCAAATTTAACATTTGAGTATAAAAAATATTATCCAATAAAATGCTATTTTTTGTGTCAAATTTCTCATATAACATATGAAAAATTTGGTGGTAAATTTCATAACAAGTATAACATATGAGAAATCTGATATTTAATCATTATTGGTTGAAATGTTTATTTTTTCATGTAATTATTGTAACTTTTACATTTCTTAATTATTTTAAAAATAAAAATTTACTTTTATAATTTTTTAATGATTATGAAAAAAAATAGATTTAGAATTTCAAAAAATATTATGCATTTTTTTAGAGATGGACTAAAATATTGAACCTTTAACATATCTTAATAAAAGATGAAAGATATCCTAAACCTTGCCCTAACCATTCATGGAATTTATATACCCCATAAACTTTTTTTTTCCAAACAAGATATCACAACCAAAAGAATTCATTTTTCCTGGTCTATTATTGGTATGGGACATTACTCAGACAGAAAAAGCATGCTAATTTGTTTTGTATTCCATTCCAGGCTTCACAGGCGAGATTCACTATTCATTGTACATTAAATGAACAGTGAATTCCCGGATTTGCCTCTCCTTACTGATGACTAAATTTTTTAATGCCTGATGTGTCCTGTTATTTCCAGTCCCTTTTTTTTCCCCCGGTGTCTTTTTTCTGGGTTGTTTTTGATTTGTCTCCTTTCCTTTTTGGTCTCTGTCATTTTGCCTTCTCTGCTTTGATTTATCTTGGCTTCTTCAATCCTTTGTTATTTTTTTGGCTTTGCTTTGGAGTTTTTGCCTCGATTGTTTTTGGTCCAGAAATTTGGAAGTTTCAAATTTAGGATTTTTATGTGTCTTTTTTTCTGTGTTCTTCTATAATTTGTCTTTGTTATTTTTGTTGGATTTCTCCTGTGTTCTTACCGCATGATTCGTTCATTGTTCTTTGTTGCTCCTGCATCGGCTTGATTTTTTTCCCCATGCATCTTTCGTGCAAGTTTTTTCATGGTCAACAATGTCTATTGTAGTTCTTTGCTATTGATAGGTGATCTTTTGTTCATGCAAGCAGTTGATCTTTGGCTTTGGTTTGTACTGAGAGAGCTTATGAAGATCGGTGCATTCTATGGTAACTCATTTTGTGCTAGGTATGGATAATACTTGATTTTTTTGTGTACTTTTAATCATTAAGATGATGATCTGTGCTGCCTACATTGCTGAGTTGTCTTCCTACTACGATGATTTGTATATGTTCTTCTCGGTTGATCTTTGGCTTTGGTTTGTACTGAGAGAGCTTATGAAGATCGGTGCTTTCCCTGGTAACTCATTTTGTGCCAGCTATGGATAATACTTGATTTTTTTTTGTACTTTTAATCATTAAGATGATGATCTGTGCTGCCTACATTGCTCAGTTGTCTTCCTACTACGATGATTTGTATATGTTCTTCTCGGTTGATCTTTGGCTTTGGTTTGTACTGAGAGAGCTTATGAAGATCGGTGCTTTCTATGGTAACTCATTTTGTGCCAGGTATGGATAATACTTGATTTTTTTGTGTACTTTTAATCATTAAGATGATGATTTGTGCTGCCTACATTGCTGAGTTGTCTTCCTACTACGATGATTTGTATCTATTCTTCTCTAGGCATATTAAATGATTTTGTTTTATTATTCAAAATCCGTCCCTATTTTACGGAGGAATTTTTTTTTGCCTGTTCTGTTTGCTGCTTTTATCTTTTTTTCCCTATAATTTTTTGCCCCTTCTGTTCTGGTCTTCTCTGAAGGTAAATACAGTATTGATTTTATAATTTAATAAAGAAATTTTTATCCGTTATTTAATGTAAACCCAGTGTGCATTATTACGTGTTATCTAATTACAGGTACGTGTTATCTAATCACAGGCCATTCACTGTTGACTTTTCATACTTTAGTCCTTATTTATCAATGTTGTTGCTCTTCATGCATTTATCATGTACATTTGTTTGTCTTTCCCATGCGCTTGACATTTCTTCTCTTTTGTTTCATCCCTGATCATTTACTACTTCATAGCTCCGTTGATCATTTACTGCTTTCTTTGTATATCCCTGTCTCTTTGACTAGCTGTGTTGAGCTTGGCTTCATCCGTGATCATTAACTCCTTTATTCTGTTCCCCATCATTTAGTGCTCTTTTTTTTATCCTTTTATCTTTGACCACTTCCCTTCTGCTTTGGTTGGTTGATATCTCAGAATTAAGGCAGTGTTTAAGGTAGGGCTGGCAATTCGTGTTCGTGGGCCGTGTTCGGGCTGACACGATTACGGCACGACACGATTATAGTGAGCACGAACACGACACGATTAATAAACGTGTCAAAAATCTAAACACGAACACGACACGCTAATAACACGGTTAACACGACACGACACGCGAACACGATTATTAAACGTGCCGTGACGGGCCGACACGAAAAAAACACGTTTATGACCCGTTTATGACCCAACTAGCAAAAATAGTGAATTTTATATTGTATTCAAAACTATATTAATTGACTACTTAATATCACTTATAGTTAAATTCATGCATAATAGCCAACACACATTAAAATATCTAAAAACATCACTTATGACATATGTTTCAAAACATACCAATTACTAAACATCTAAAGAAGTTTGAAAACATAACCAAGTACATTTAAATAAGTTTAAAAACATAACCAAATATTTGAAAATTTAAGTGCATAAAATATAATCAACCATCTACAAGTCCATTGGCATATTTAAGTGCATAAAGCATAAAACATATTTAAAGTTTAGGTTTATCCATTACAAATCATCCATTGGCATTTTGTAATCAACCATCTACAAGTCCATCTACAAATCATCCATCTACAAATCCATTGGCATTTTGTAATTTTATCAACATGCCATAACTTATTTAAAAGTTAGAGTGTTAAATTAAGTTAACCCTTTTATCAAACACCCTTCATGCAAACAAGAGAATATAAATAAAACGGGCTGTGAGAAAATGAGAGAATGAGAGAGAATGAGAGAATGAGAGAATGAGAGAAAGAGAA